CGTCGGGTAGTCCGTTGGTCCGGCCGTCTCGAAGGCGACGAGGCGGCCGCCGGGCGGCCCGAAGGTCTCGAGGCCGGTCTGTCCGACGGGCACGAGGTGCGGGTAGCCGGGCGGAGTGCAGTCGGCTTCGGCGTGTGGGTACACTGGCAGCTGGTCGTAGGCCAGCAACAGGTGGCCCGTGGCCGGAGGCGCATCTGCCGGGGGGTAGGCGAGTCCGGGGCCCAGTTGGTAGGCCAGCGGCAAGGCCTCAGGGGCGCCGAGCAACAAGCCGCCGCCAACCGGCCTCGTCCGGTAGCCGGTGTGCGGCGGATCCGGCGCGAAAGTCGGCGCCTGCAGGTAGGCGGGACTCGAACCCGAGCCGGAGGCGGAGGGATCACGAGGCGAAAAGCTCGACGGCCGGTCCATGGGGTCGAGGTAGACGACGGAGTAGCCCAGTTGGCTCGAGGTGGGGGGGAGAAATGGGGTTGTCGAGGCGTTGTTGGGCGAGACGAGCGGAGGCTCGTCGAGCCGGTAGCACCCGGGCTGGACGGGACTCGGAGGCGCTGTGAGACAGGCCACCTGGACGAGGGCGAGCCCCGGGCCCGGCTGTCGCAGGGACAGAGAGGAGCACGAGGAAGAGGAGGATGAAGAAGAAGAAGAAGAAGATGATGATGATGATGATGATGAGCCGGATGAAGAAGAGGAGGACGACGAGAATGGGGAAGGAAAGAGGGAAGGAGTGACGGAGGATGATGAAGAAGATGATGACGACGAGGAAGAAGAGGAGCACGAGGAGGAAGAGGATGAAGAGGATGAAGAGGAGCAGGAGGAGGAAGAGGAGGGAGCGGAGTGTGTTCCAGACAGTGGCGAGCCGAACTGCGGCCTGGTGGCGGACTCAAGTCCGAGGGTCTGTGGAGAGTGCAACTGGTAGAGGGGCGCACTGGGCAGACGGCCGTTGCTAACGGCGACGGTGGCCGACGTGGCTGTGGTCGAGTCGAGCTCGGGTGACATGGGAAACGACAACAAAGAGTGTCCGGGCGTTGGTACAAAGGGGCCGATTGAGACGGCGCCGTTGGTCAGGCAGTGTGAATAGGAGACAAGTTGGCCCGTTTGGAGGCATGGCAACAAATGTACGCTTGTGTTGGTGTTGGTGACCGGTGTCTTGTGTCCGGCCGAGAACGAGGGCAGCAACGGTACGTGATGTCGGGGGGTGAGGAGACCGGACGTCCGGGCGGTCATCTCAATCGTGGGGCTGCCGACTTCGTGGTTGGCCGCTTGCACAACCGCAGCCTTGCCTCGTCGCCCAGACGCCGATTGATGCAGATGATGCGGATGCGCTTGCATCTGCTGCTGGTGCTGATGATGCTGATGATGATGCTGGTGCTGATGATGCTGATCTGGACTGGTGTAGTGCTGTTGGCTAGTGCTGTACTGGACGACGACCGGTTGTTTGGCATCGGCCGTCGGGGTGTACGAGCCCAGGGCACCGGCCAATGTCGTCTTTTGGCGAGCCTCTACTGTCGAGGATGATCCGGCGCCCAGCTTCACTTTCCGACGAGGTCGGTACTTGTAGTCGGGATATTGTTCCATGTGACAGTCACGAAGACGCTTGGCCTCTGTCATGAAGGGCTCCTTTTCATAGCTGGTCAACGCCTTCCACAACGAGCCGAGTCGTTTGCTGATCTCAGAGTTGTGCATTTTTGGGTTCTCCAACGCCATCAAGCGTCGCTGTGATCGTGACCACACCATGAACGCGTTCATCGGTCGTTTGACACGATCAGCGCGTCGTTTTCCCCCACTTGCTCCACCACTCTGGCCAATCACACCACCGGAGCCGGGAGTGAACCCCCCTCTGCTGGTACTTTCGACTGTGTCTTTTTCGCCGGCGCCAGTCTCGCCAATCAGTCCCGGCAGGCCGGGCAGAGCCACTCTTTGGCAGACGGTGATGGCCGGATTGACGCCCGTCTCCATGCCAGACACTTCGATGCCTTGAGACAGTCCACCCAGTGGTACTACCAGCCGCATGTGATCACTCGTCATCGCGGAGCGTACAGCCACTTGGCCACTTTGTGAGAAGGCGGCAGGAGCATTGGCCGCCTGTATCATGTGCAATTCACAATCGGACGTGGACAGCCGGTTTTCACCAGTCGCCATTTTGCAGCTCACCGAACCGAAAACCGGCGGCAGCACAGTCGAGACGTACGTTGGCCTCTGGTCGCACGACGAAGTCGCTTCGGGATAGACCGCCAAGTCTTCCTCCAGAGAGTGTTGAAAGTAATCAACTGTCTGACGAGGAGGCGTTTTTAGAACCGGCAGGCTGGCCACAAACGAGGAAATATGCATTCCGGCCGGTATGGCCCTCGGTGAAGAGGCATCAATCAGGCCCTCTATAGTGTTGATTCTTGCCTGCTTTAAGAGATATAAAGTGTGTATGCAATAAATTCATATAGAAAACACACAAATGCTACATCAATGTCATTAGGGCCAGCCTAACGCTTTGACAAATAGGGCAGAAACTAGTTAAGAACAGGTACGCCTCCTAAGTAGCCTAAGCAATACATAACTATACTTTTTTCGTTTAAAAGTGGGATTTCGAGACTCCTTGTTGGGGGACTTTCATCTCGTATGAAAGGGCATGACGAAGAGATTCATAGGTCGATCTCATCAGATGACGACGGCTGCAACACAACACGACGCATCCATCTTCTTCTTCTACGAATCTCTTCTTCACGCATTTTCATACGAATTGAAAGTTCCCCCAACAATGTTATCTTCGTACATATAACTGTAAATCAGTTATATGAAGTGTATTTACCCTATTTAGTTTAAGGTGATGAAAGATTGACAGTTGAATGTGGTATGAGAAAATGTCTGGCCTTACTTGAAATGCACATCTGCCCTGCGACCCAAGGTCACTAGTGGCAATGTGGTCTAGTGATTAGCGTGCCGAGATTGTATACTGTACTGTCATTGTTCGAACCCCGCTAGAGGTGTTTACAAGACCTAGACGAGGTCGAACTTGCAGTCGCCCATGGATGCGAACACCTGAGGGCAAGCAAAGCTATGTGAAATTCAATAGAAACGTAAGATCAACTCATATCATTGTAAGCAAATTCACCTACCAATCCGTCATCAGCCTAAACGAAACAGAGTGAATACAGCTCATATATATATGAGTATATATTGCTAATAATTCCTAAATGAAAAACTCAATATTTCTTAGGTTAAGGCTAATCTGGGGCAATTGGCCCAGGTTACCAGTTATCTGGCTGCCGGGCAATAAAGAAACGTAAATATTATTTAATTTTATCTCTAAGTTTTATATAGACTCGAAATAACAAAAGGATAAACTTCATATATATGAGATGTATTCAGCCTATTTCTTTTAAGGTGATAGGGCGACTGGAAGTTGAGAGCATATGCTGCACCGACATGGTTTGAGTCCCGCTGGGGGTGCTGATGAGATTCAGGTGAGGTCGAAACTAGAGTCTACGTAGGTTCTACTCATATGATTGTGGGAAAATTTGACAACCAGTAGTCCCCTTATCACCCTAAATGTAATAGGGTAAATACACTTAATGAATAAACGATCTACTGGTAGGCTGGGAAGCCTACTTATCGATGAAAAATAGGGCAAATTTCAGTTTGATATCTTACTCACTAAAGTGTACTAAACGAAGATAAATAGTGCAAGTACTAACCTAATAGAGAAAATTAATAACTAGTAAAAGGATGGCAACTAGAATAAAATTAACTACAAAACTGCCTAAAGAAAAATAATAAAGAAAAAAAATATGGGTGATTTTTCACAACAATAAGGTTAAAAGTATACACTTATGAAACAAATAGGAAATTATAATTAAACAGCGAAAAAATAATTAAAAATACACAAATTTTCTAGATATGATGACCAAGCTGGTGTTGCCTATAATTTGGTCACAGTCTCCTTGCTCTCTATTGAAGTGATTTGGTCTCGTTTTTGCAACTTAGTAGTGTTGTCAGGGCGACCTAATTGAAAACATCTTGTCTGAGGTCCTCTTCACTAGTAGTCATGCTAAATCTCAGCGTAAAACCGTGGATCTAGAGCATTCCTATAAATTTAAACAGAATCGTAATCGACATCTTCAGTAAGCGTTGCAATTTTTAGTACGAAGCTACAATTCGTCAAAGAGAATAATGAAATAAATCCTTTGATCAAATTTCTGTCGAACGGTTGTAGGAGAGGCCGCTCTGACAATACGACAAAGTTACGAAAACGCGATAACATTACTTCTAAAATAAATATACTCAAATAAAAGTACAAATAAATATCTAGTAGTAAAGGCAAGATTTAAAAAATGCACCGAGAAATACAATTTGAATAATTTAAAAATTAGATATTGTTTTGCCGATTAAATTCACAGCAAGCCTGCCAAAGGTAAAACGGACATAAAAAACCAAAAATTCAATAAGGCAATACTAATAAGAGTATAA